TTAATTTATTAGATAATCAAATATTTTATATTCTCTTAAAGACTTAAGAACGTGATCAATTTTATTTATTTATCGAATACATGCAGAATTCGACGAAGTGAATAAAAATATATATTTAATTCATCAATATCTTAAAAATTAAAATTAAAAAAAAAATACATTTCGTAAGTTGTAGTTATAGATAATGCAATCGAAATTCTTCAATCTCCATCTCAATTTAATGCTAATCATAATATCCGTAAATCTATTCGCAGCTCTCGGCCAGCACAACGATGGCTTTGTGCGTTGCCCCGACGAGGCTTTGACCTGGCAGCATCGCAGGTACTTGATCGTGCAGGAGATTCTGCAAAATCAGCCGGATGTTGTTTGTCTGCAAGTATTTATTTGTGCCCGGTGTCAGGTGGAATGCAGTCGCGCTTTAACATCTCGTTTGCTTTTTGTACCCTGCAGGAGGTGGATCATTTCAAGTTTCTGCAGACTGTGCTGGGCAGCCAGAACTATGATGGCATCTTCTTTCCCAAGCCGGACTCGCCCTGCCTGTACATAGAGGAGAACAATGGCCCCGATGGCTGTGCCATCTTCTACAAGCGCGACAAGCTGCAGCTCCTTGGCTAYGACACACGCATCCTGGAGGTGTGGCGCGTGCAGAGCAACCAGGTGGCCATTGCCGCGCGGCTGCAGCTGAAGGCCAGTGGCCGGGAGTTCTGTGTCTGCACCACCCACCTGAAGGCACGCCACGGCGCTCTGCTGGCCAAGCTGCGCAACGAGCAGGGCCGTGATCTGATACGCTTTGTCAAGCAGTTCGCCGGCGAGAGTCCGCTGCTGCTGTGCGGCGACTTCAATGCGGAGCCCATTGAGCCCATCTATGCGACGATTCTCAGCTGCGATCTGTTCAAGCTGGGCAGCGCRTATGCGGACATTAAGCTGGAACGGGAACGGGAGCGGGAACGAGAAGATCAGGAGCAGCACACGGCCAGCTGYGACGATCCCAATGAGCTCATTGCGCAGTCCATCAAGCGCGAGCCTCCATACACCACCTGGAAAATTCGCGAAGATGGCGAAGAGTGCCATACCATTGACTATGTGTTCTACACGCCGCAGCAGCTAAAGGTGAGTGGGCGTGGCAGCAACTAAAATAAATAAAACATGCTTTAATCTTCAATCATATTTTGCAGATCAAGAACTGCCTGGAATTTCCGGCCGGAGAACAGATCGGCAAGAATCGTACGCCCTGCTTTGAATATCCTTCGGATCATTTTTCGCTCGTCTGCGACTTTGAGCTGCTCGATGAGCCCCTTTCGGAGGACAAAAGCAAACCGCATGGCACCATACAGTAGAGCTTGTCAGTGCACGCACACAGCTAGACAAACACAAACACAAACACACACACACATACAGCAATTACATAATAAATTGTGATATTAGCTCTTAGAYACATTTTTAGCCATCTATACACATGTACGTACGATCCATACTATATTGAGCGTAGCACGGCAAAGCTTGCTAAGGCGAGACATTAATACAGATTTCATCAATAAACGAGTGTAACTTTGTAGGAATCGTCGTCGCTGTCTATATATTGTMTGTTAGACTATAAAATAATTGGATTTCGATTTCATTTTTGATAACACGAAAGCAGGGGAGATTCTCACATATAATTGTACAAGGATTCTGGCTGGAATTTGATATTAGTGTTTCTCTATACATTATTAACTTTAAATATTATAAAATGTCTATTTTAACTGTAAGCTTCATAGTGTATACATTTTGTGAATAATAATTATTAATAACTGTGTGGAGTCATCGAATCTGAACTTATTTAGCAGGAGAAACGCCAGAAAATTTAGATTCCCTACGGATTAATTAATGTTCTATTATATTATAGATATACTATATATGTATATAGACTAATTGGATATACATATGTTTATATACCTCTGCTAATCAAGCATCGAATCTGACTTTGTGCTGGCCGAATCAGACCACTTAATCAAATGGAAAGCGCTTTATCATAATATCCTCTCCTTTATTGACAAATCAACTTGTTGTATATTGGGACCCACATATTGAAAATGCAACAATAGATATTAATATTACATGCGTGAAGGTTCCACAGGCCTTGCCTGAGATTGTTGAAAGCAGTCATCAATTCCCGTTTAATATATTAATATATTACCGTATGTTCAATTTGTTATATCATTGCAGCGTATCACCATTTGCAGGTAGGACTTAGCGCTGACTCGTAACCTATAGCATCGGTAGTCTATTTTGGATTGATAATTGCACTCACAGATGCTGTCAACTGATATTGGTATAGATCACCTGAGTACATAGGTTTCGATATTGATTATAAAATTATTTGCTGGAAGTATTTCTGATGAGATTTGTTTGTCCACGGCTGCGTCTGAATCATTCTTGTATATTAAGAATTCTTGAAACTTTCTTGGAAAATCCATAAAATCCTTTAGAGATTACTCGTGTTATATAAGACATATACATCAAGTGATTTGAAATCGAATGTGGAAGTAGTCGCTCATCAGAATACAAAACTTCCATTACAGCACAGATTTCAATTTGTTCGTATTTATTGTGACGTCATTTTCTCACAGTGTTGCACACCCACAAGCATAGTCAATGGAGCCCATGTCGATGGTAGAGCTTCAGCTTCGGCACAAATTTAGTAAGCTAATAGCACAAAACACGATATCTGGCAAATTGCGCTGACTAGAATGAACTGGTGATGTTGATGTTGTTGCATAACAGAGCAAAATGCAGATACAGATATTATAAATAAACTGTACATGTATTATGCATTTAACAAATAATAGACATGTTCGCACTAAAATTTAACTGGGCCTGCGCTGCCTCTAGAGAAGAGCCAGGATGGCGGTTAGCACGAAGGAGGTGGCAACCATTACATAACCGGTGGAATAGACCTCTTTGATCTTGAGGAAGCGACCAGTGTCCCAGAGCAGATGGCGGACGCCGTTGGCGGCGTGGTAGCCAAACGGATAGGCGAGAATGAACTTGATGGCGGTCAGAGAGGCGCCGCTCAGCTGGAGACCCTCCACCATGGTGACGTAGTGGCTGATGTCTTGAGAGGCGACCAGAGCGCCAATGCCCAAGCCCCAAACGCCGACGCCCAGGACCAGGCCGGTGCCGCGGTGCATGACGGACAGTATGGAGGTGAGCTGCGGCTTATAGATGGTCAAGTGGGGTGACATCTCKCGGCCCAGACGTTGGTTTTTCTCAAAGAAGCTCTCATCCTTGATAGTTGAGCCGACAGAGACAACCTTCAGTGAGACCTGACGGTTCGCCGCGGCCATTTGTAGGCCTTGGCGGAGCGCTGATGAGCGCACAAGAGAGCTGCTGAGAGCATACCTAGAAGATTTACAGTTAATTTTTCTTTTACAAAAACGTTGGCGATGGATGAAATACGCACATTCTGTTTCTTTTCGCTTAAAACTTGCACGCAGTGTGGCCGCACTTCGCACACGAAAAAATACCAAAATAATTGATATCGCTGCACAATACAAATATATCGATAGCTCAGTTTGTAGACATTTAATTGTAGAAAAGTGATATTCTTTTTGGTGATATTTCAAATAAATCAAAATTATTTTTACTAAATATAAATGAAAAATATCATTTGGCATATAATGGGGCGCCAGCCAGCAACGTCAACAATTAGGTACAGCAGGTGCTCTCACTTGCGTCAGCGACTCAATTGTGCGCTTTTTATATTCTGCTGCGTGTTGCAGCCTCAGTGCTACGAAACTAATCTTTCGCACAAACGGCTGCAATGAGCGCCGCTCCACGGCCCGAACCATCTTCAGACAGAACCAACTCATATCTTACAGTGCCGTTCAGCAGTAAGTTCATATTTTGCATTAACAACCTATGGTAATGGGGATGAAACCGATAAACACTACCATCAATACCCACTGCCAAGTCCTTAACATTCATTTTCCTGATCAAACAGACCAGTCCACAGGCTGCCAATTTAGCGGAACGCGTGGATATAGTTTCGCATATATAGCGCAGGCACAATAAATCCTTTTCGTTGGTGGTTCTAATGCCCAGATTATCCATAACCATTGCAGCATTGCGAAACTTTCCCGGCTCGTCGGACTCGATCTCTGTTATAAAACGAGTCTCAAATCTGCCTCTTTGCTGAAGGGTCTGTGACTTCACTCCCTTGAAAATCACGTCCCTGTCCATCAACTCCACCAAAATGTGTCGCACCAACTCTCCCATGTACATGCCAGAGATGCACTTCTCGTAAATCTGTTTCTTGGGATTCATGGAATGACTGTCCACCTCAACATCGTAGCGAGTGCGCACAAAGTCCAGTACGCCATTGTCCCCGAAAGCGCCCCACTCGCAGTTGATGATCATATGGGGCTTCGAGCTGTTTTGGTATCCCGGAAACATTTCCACATTCGATGTTTTCTCCACGTAGCAGGCGTTACTGCCCGTGCCCACAATCATTCCGATTTTGCAATTCTGGCGAATAAATGCGCAGGACATCAAAGTTCCCGTCGTGTCGTTGAGAATGGCCACGACTTGGACCTTAAGGTCGCCTCGACGCGTGATAGCTTCACGAAGCAACTCAACGACGTTCTTGTTAACCACTCCATCAGCCTTGAAGCCCTTCGTCCAGGCGACTAGAGTGCCGTTGTCAATACCTAGCTGCTTGCACGGAAAAGAGAATGTGAAGCCAAGAGGCAAATTAGCATTTTCGAGCTTATGATCTTTGCAAAAGTCAGATAGACACTGCGCAATAAAGTCGAATAGTTTGACGCCAGAGCCTTCCATTAACTCCTTGCTAATGCCGTAGGTCTTGCCATCAATATTAACATTGGATTCGGACTCTAACGTGACCAATAGGACTCGAAAGTTGGTTCCTCCAAGATCCAGCGCCAGGTATCTTCCTCTCTCCCGGCCAGAGGGCAGGTCTTGAACGTACGTTACAAAACACTTTATTGTAGCTCGTGAATGCGTATCTTTTGCAAGACCCATAGAGATTTCCCTGGTCATCCGCAGAATAATCTCCTCCATTTTGTGTTGATCTATCTCGAACTGCTGACAGATTTTATAAGCTTCGGGGTAAAGTGTCCGTACTTCATCCATGGCCAAGGAATATCCAAGGAAGAGGGCGCTCTGTCAGCTACTTTAAATTTAGATTTTTTGTTTGTTTATGTGATTTTTAACTAAAACAAAATTTAAGACAGATGTGACATTTTATATTTACGTTGAGTCCGACTGCCGACACAGTCGAATAGTTTCAAAGTAACTTGATTTGCAAATAGTGTAATTAAAAATAAGACCACGTGACTCCATGTGGAGTTATCCTCTTTAAAAAATGCAATCTGAAAAGGTCGACTGTAGTTCTGACTGTAAAAAATTACTCAACAGTGGTCACTTCTAAAAACGAGTGACTTTAACTGGATTTTCAAATCGCCAAGCTATTACTACTATTACTATTACTCGATTTGCCAGGCCCCAGTAGGCTGGGATAATATCTTTAATCGATCTGTAGAGGAGGTTAGTTAAGTTTGCAGGACTGAAGTTGAAAAGGTAGACGGTACTCACGCCAATTTTCACATCGCAATGCCCATTGCTATATACATATTTCCAGTTATCACATACATACATATATCAGATTTCCAAGTTCCAAACCTCAATTTTTGAGTAAAAAATTGCTTAGTCAAAACATTTTATGATGAGCTTGCGTACAGAGGCTGTCTGCTATATGGATGGGTCTGCAGCCAACTGGCTGCTATGAAACTATAAGAGTAAGGCATTTTGAACAAGTTGAGGCGTTAGGGTATCGAGTAGTTTTTTAGTTAGGTAATTCTTAAATACAAAAACAAATCAAGTGCGATTTTATGGGTTCCACTGATGTATTACAAAGTATATACCTATTGCGATGGTTCTGTCATAAAAATACTTAAAAGTCGATATATTTTTGAAACAAGTCTTTGAGAGGATTATCAAAAGTGCCTGAATGTCCAAATAACTTTCTGGATAAAGCGACGCACTGTTGGCATGCCTGCTGGTGCGGATGCTTTTAGAGGACACGAACTTGATTGTTTTTCTGGAGGCAAGGCTTTCGGTGGATTCGGTGGACGTCGAGTGTAGACGGCAGCAGTTAAAGCCGCACCACGACCCGAGCCATCTTTGGAAAGACTCAGCTCAAATTTTGCCGAGCCCTTCAACAGTAATTTCATGTTTTCCAGTAACAGCCTATGATAATGCGGATGAAAGCAATACACACTCCCATCAATGCCCACTGCTATGTCCTTGACTTTTGTTTTCTTGATCAAAGAGACCAGTCCACACGCTGCCAGCTTGGCGGATCGTGTGGATATCGTTTGGCATATGTGACGCAGACAGAGTAAATCCTCCTCGCTAGTTCCTCTGACGCCTAGCTCATCCATCACTTTGCAGGCGTTGCGCACTCGGCCCGGCTTGTCGGACTCGATTTCACTTAAAAAGCGAGTATCGAACTTCTCCCTCTCACGAAGAATCTGAGACGTTGCATCCTTGAAGAGGACGCCCTTGTCCATCAGCTCCACTACAATGTGGCGCACCAGCTCGCCCATATACTTACCAGAGATGCACTTCTCGAACACCTGTTTTGTGGGATATAAGGACTCCCTGTCCACTGCCTTATCGAAGGAAGTGCGAACAAAATCTAGCTCACCATTCTCCCCAAACGCGCCCCACTCGCAGTTGATGATCATATGGGGTTTTGTGCTGGTCTGATATGCCGGAAACATTTCCACGTTTGACGTTTTCTCCACGTAGCAGGCGTTTGTTCCCGTGCCCAAAATCATTCCGATTTTGCAATTCTGCTTCTGAAAAGCGCAGGACATCAAAGTTCCCGTCGTATCGTTGAGAATGGCGACAATATCGACTTTGAAGTCGCCTCGACGGCTGATGGCTTCTCGAAGCATTTCAACAACGTTCTTGTTAACCACTCCCTCAGACTTGAAGCCTTTCGTCCAAGTAACCAGAATTCCTTGATCAATACCAATATGTTTGCATGGAAAGGAAAATGTGAAACCAAGGGGCAAATTGTCATT